CCTCCTTCTCCTCCCACCTTGGTCCTCCTTGTCCTCCCCCCTTGGTCCTCCTTGTCCTCCCACCCTTGGTCCTCCTTGTCCTCCCGCCTCAGTCCTCCTTGTCCTCCCGCCTCAGTCCTCCTTGTCCTCCCGCCTCGGACCTCCTTCTCCTCCCACCTTGGTCCTCCTTCTCCTCCCACCTCGGACCTCTTTCTCCTCCAACCCTTGGTCCTCCCACCTTGGTCCTCCTTGCTCTCCACCCTTGCCCCTCAACGTCCCCAACCCCTCGTTCCTCATCCTCCCTCCCCGACCTCCACCGTGGAGCAAACCCCCCCCACCCCAACCACCTTCCACCGGACTTGGTCCTCCTTGCTCTCCACCCTTGCCCCTCAACGTCCCCAACCCCTCGTTCCTCATCCTCCCTCCCCGACCTCCACCGTGGAGCAAACCCCCCCCACCCCAACCACCTTCCACCGGAAGGTGGCCGCCCATCCTGACGTCCCCACCTCGCCCCACCAGCACCATCACGCCGGTGGTGGGGAAGAAACGCAAACGCAACGCCTCTTCCGACAACTCGGACGCGGAGGTGATGCCGGCGCAGTCCCCGCGAGAAGAAGAAGAAACCAGCGTGCAGGTACGGGAGGTGACACCACCGCAGGTCAACGTGACGGCGGCGGTCATCTCGGCGTCCGCCGCGGGGACGGTGAGGACAACTCGTCGTCTTCTTTTCTCCTTCCAGAAACGAAGATCTAATCGTCAAGTGAAGAGGAAGAAGTACACGGAGGATTTGGACATCAAGATCACGGATGATGAGGAGGATGAAGAACTTGACGTGACGGGACCCGTCCGACCTGAGCAACCACCGGTTCCTCAACCACCGGCTCCAGAACCGGAACCGGAGGGCGAGACGTTGCCCTCCATGCAGTTTTTTGTGGTGGGACCTCTTTGGCTTTGTCTTCTGGACCAACTCGGTGGCCACCGTGGTCTTCATCACCTTTGGTCGTCCCCCGTTTCACCTTCATCTTCATCTCTTCTCTTCCTCCCTTTCCAGGAGAACCCAAGCGAGGAGGACGCCGCCATCGTGGATAAGGTCCTCTCCATGAGGGTGGTGAAGAAAGAGGTGAGGACCACCCCGGGGCGGTGGTGGTGGTGGGGCAGATCTTCTGGTGTTTCCCCATCGCTGACGTCCCACCTGGTGGTGATGGTGGTGGTGGTGGGGCAGATCTTTTGGTGTCTCCCCAACGCTGACGTCCCACCTGGTGGTGGTGGTGGTGGTGGTGGGGCAGATCTTCTGGTGTTTCCCCAACACTGACGTCCCACCTGGTGGTGGTTGTGGGGCAGATCTTCTGCTGGTGTCTCCCCATCGCTGACGTCCCACCTGGTGGTGGTGGGGCAGATCTTCTGGTGTCTCCCCAACGCTGACGTCCCACCTGGTGGTGGTGGTGGCGGTAGGGGGGAGCGGTTAGTGGTGGTTGTGGGGCAGATCTTCTGCTGGTGTCTCCCCATCGCTGACGTCCCACCTGGTGGTGGTGGTGGTGGTGGTGGGGCAGATCTTCTGGTGTCTCCCCAACGCTGATGTCCCCCCTGGTGGTGGTTGTGGGGCAGATCTTCTGCTGGTGTCTCCCCATCGCTGACGTCCCACCTGGTGGTGGTGGGGCAGATCTTCTGGTGTCTCCCCATCGCTGACGTCCCCACTGGTGGTGGTGGGGGTGGTGGGGGGGCGGTGTTCTGGTGTCTCCCCAACGCTGATGTCCCCCCTGGTGGTGGTTGTGGGGCAGATCTTCTGCTGGTGTCTCCCCATCGCTGACGTCCCACCTGGTGGTGGTGGGGCAGATCTTCTGGTGTCTCCCCAACGCTGACGTCCCACCTGGTGGTGGTGGTGGTGGTGGTGGGGCAGATCTTCTGCTGGTGTTTCCCCATCGCTGACGTCCCACCTTCTTCTCCACAGCTTCCATCGGGTCAGATGACCGAATCGGAGGAGTTCTTCGTCAAGTACAAGAACTAGTAGGTGACCACGTGACGTGGGGACAAGCGTGGGGTGGCTTTTGGGTGGCAACGAGACGCGTAGACCTCCCGGCCACCCATCGTTGGGGTTTTTGGTGGTGGATGGAGCTCTCCAAACCCGACGGTGGAGAGGGGGGACATCTCGATGGGTCTTCTTCTCTGGGAGGAGGGGGGGCTGTGGGGCGAGGAGGTGACACGGGTGACCACCGCTTGTCCCACCGACCTTCTCCTCAGCTCCTACCTCCACTGCGAGTGGGCCACCATCGACCAACTGGAGAAGGACAAGAGGATCCACCAGAAGCTGAAGAGGTTCAAGACGAAGATGACTCAGATGCGGCATTTTTTCCACGAGGTGCCCGTTTCGGGGAGGAAATAGGGGGGTTGGGGGA